GCTGACCCCCTGCAGCCCATGGAGGTGCTCAGTGGAGCAGATCTCCACCTGTAGCCCGTGGAGGACCCCACGCTGGAGAGGGTGGGTGCCCGAAGGGAGGAGGCTGTGACCCCATGGAAAGCCTGCACCAAATCGGGTTCCTGGCAAGACCCATAGGAGGAGGAGCCCACGCCGAAGCAGGTTTGTTGGCAGAACTTGTGACCCTGTGGGGGACCCAATGCTGGAGCAGTCTGCTCCTGAGGGACTGCACCCTGTGGAAATTATGGATCCATGTTGGAGCAGTTCTTGTAGCCCGTGGGAAGGACTCACGTTGGAGAAGTTTGCGGAGGACTGTCTCCCGTGAAAGGGACCCCACGCATGAGCAGGGGAAGAGTCCTCTCCCAAGGAAGAAGGAGCAGCAGAGACAACGTGTGATGAACTGACCTCAACCCCCATTCCCATCCCCCTGCACCGCTGGGGGGAGTAGGCAGAGAAACTGGGGGTGAAGTTGAGCCCAGAAAGAAGGGAGGGGTGGGGGGAAAGTTTTTAAGATCTAGCAGTTTTTCTCCTCTCCTTCTCTGATTTTGATTGATAATAAAGAAACTTTTTTTCCAAGTTGAGTCTGTTTTGCCCATGATGGTAACTGATAAAATGATCTCTCCCTGTCCTTATCTCGACCCGCGAGCCTTTTGATTTTCTTTTCTCTCTTCTGTCCAGTTAGAGGGAAGTGATAGAGTGGCTTTGGTGGGCCCCTGGTGTCCAGCCAAGGTCAAATGACCACACATGCGCAGGTAAGGGTGACTATTAATCAAAATCTGACCTTTAAAATTACACAGGATAAAACCTCAGTAAAATGGGAAATATATCCTGACAGAGAAGTCAACCAGCTATTCTAACAAGCATTCCTCTTGACTATTGTCTATGATTCATATGCTTTTGTGCGCTTTTTTTTAAATGGTGACTCAAACCTGCTCAAAAAAACCCCACAGAAGGCAAGAAGGTTCTCAGACATGACTACTGTACTTGGCTAAAGAGATAAAGTTCACCTACAGCTTTAAACTTAAAAGTTAAAACTTAAAGTCCTGCTGACTGTAACAAATGCTATGCCAGCACAGTCAGTGTAAACCTCAGTGATACATCAGTTAGGTTGTTATATCTGCACAGCTGTACAAACATTCTCTTTAGAGAGAGGATAAACTCTCTTAAGTTGTTCCCTTCCCAATATTATTCTTATTATTATGTTCCCTTCCCAATATTATTCTTATTATTGTTAAAAAGAAAATATGAATGGAGCTCAGAATGTTGAACTTGTTTTCATTTCTAGACAGGTAGTAAAACAAGCTTTCTTAATGACCATCCTTCTCTTCACAATTTCCTCTCAGATGTATTATCATACCATTCTTTCGTGCTTATGTACAAACACGAAAGCAGCTGCTTATTGAGGAGCCATATGTCTCTAGACTAGTCAAGAATAATGTTGCCTGCTGAGCAGCAGATATCCTGAAAAGGGGACAGAGCGCAACTCCTCACAGCTGTGCTGGTAGGAGGATGGGACAAACAGGGGTCAACTGAAGTAGAGGAGGTCCCAAATTTATATGGAGGAGGTGGTGGAAATCATTATAAGGATGATTAAGCAGTGGGAGAGGTTCAGTAGAGAGGCTCTGTGGCTTCTCTTCATATGTAAAGGATTTCAAGCCCCAGCTGAATGAAGCTGTGAGCAACCTGATCTAAGCTCAGAACTGACTATTTTGTGAGTAGAGGTTGCGAAGAGACACCTCCTTAAGTCTCTTCCAGTCTGAATGGTCTTGGAGTTATTCTATGTGACTACGATATGTCAGAGCAACAACTTTACCACTTCTGTGAGAGTTACACTGAGGTGTTAGTGAGTAACCATAGGAAACAGGACAGGGACGGAGGGAAGGGGGAGGAGCGGGAGCAAGGGATGGGGGAAGAGAGAGAGAAAACCTTGTGTAGCTACAACCTAAGGTAAAAACTAATACAAGAAACTTCTAAAGTGCAAATGAAGGCTCTCAACTTCAACACAAAAGGAGTTTGTTACTAACGTTTTCACTGATCCCTAACTGCTCCCTTCTCTGTTCTAAGTTAGCTAATTTATACTGTTTGTTCAGGAGATCACCCTATATTCCTTCAGGCTAGAAGGTCAAATGTAAAGGCTAAGGAGAAGTTACATTATGGTGGAGAGATCTGCATGCATGGTGTTTGGGTGAGAGGGTATAAACTTAATTGGTCACAAATGTCTAGGGAGTGATAGAAATTAGGGATAGAGTTGCTAGACCAGGGTGGTGTTCCTTCCCCCATCCCCCCCCCCCAGCCGATTTATTCACTTGCCTTGGATAGAAAAGTCTCTGTTACAACAGATAAATGACACGTTTGGGAAAACAGACAAGCAGAAAAGTGCATATTCTATTCGATAAATCATTTGAAGACTTTAAAGTTCTTCAGCACCTTTCAGCCTACCAACATGTTTTCTATCTGATAATAACTTATTCCAAGTTGAATTACCATGGATGGCTGCACCCTATCACACCTTTGGATTAGAAAAGTGGAGCTTAGAAGTATTTGTGAAGTATTTCTTGATTATTCACAAGTTAGCTCCTGACTGAAGTACACTGCAGCAAAACACCAAGTTCACCCCTGCATGCAGTAAAAGCTCTGAACCATGCTTCAGGAAATTGACCTTGTGAGATTATTATGACCTTCAAACTGTTGCCACATCACTGAAGTGAGTTTTTTGCAGAATTTGATGATAAGCCTGTGGATTACTGGGTGATATTATGTCAACACCTTTGATAAGCACACACGAAAGAGACATATCTGAAGAAATGGTTTCAAAAACTAGTACTTCAGAGCAACAACAACAAAAATAGTTCTTTGCCGTGCATTAATTTCCATTGACAGCATATATCCTTTTACTTATAGGAATATTTATAGAACAATAAAAAAAGTAATGCTTGGTATTTATGAACAGTTATATGAAAGTGCTTGCAACAATTAACTTTCTGTGTTACTATTATTTGCATATTATTATTGTTACTGTTGTTATTAACAGCTGTATTAAAGCATTAGTCCTTAAGGACAACAGTTAGAAACAAAGCATTAATTGTACTGGGAAATGTACAAATACATGATAGGACTAAAAATCAGTCCCTGCCTCCTAATAAAGTACCATTATGCTTACGGATATTTCAATAGCTTTGATATGACTTGTTAAAGAATCATAATGAATGTTAAAAATAGAGTTTCAGGAGAGTTTATAAAAGCTATTAGAATCATCACAATGGAGAGAAGGAAAAAAAAGTCTTGGTATATGGGCTGGTGTCACAGAAGAGTCACAGATCACTCAGACAGATCTGACCTAGTATCTGCTTTATTGAGTTTTAATCAACAAATTTAGGTATGTAAAATATTTAATAAATACAGATGGATCAGTGGTCAATACTCTACTGTTTACTACATTTAAAGATAGCATGGGATACCAAGATTATGACGTAAGCTTACTACATGTTAAATGTTAGCTGCATGCAAGAAATGTCACTTAAAAACCCATTGATGCCTTGTGTCAGGCAAGGGGTCTCTCAACCTCAAGGTGTAACCCAGACAGGTATCCCTATTCAAGAGGAGATCACTGCTGTCAGCCACCTGCCACAGAGGGAGAGCTCAAAAGGCCCTGATGGCTGTATACATTTATAGCATGAAGTGTTTGATTTGTAGTCAGATTTTCTGCTGTGTTAATGCAATTTTGGCTGTGAATCAGCCCAGACCACAGCCAGACTGTTTTTTTGGGGGGTTGGTGCTGAGTTCTCATTGATAGCCTCACACAATAAGATTAACTTAAATTAGGCTTACTTGCTGAGCATCTGCTTGGACCAAAGCTCAGTTACTTCAAACAGGAGGAGTGCATCTGTCACAGCTGGGCTTTGACCATTCTAATCATTCACTGTACTGCAAAGGGTAAAAGGGTGTTCTTGTTTTAAAATATGTAGAACTGTTTAAACATGAAAATTCTAAGCATCTGAATTATACAAGTATCTTGAAAGACAACACAAAACTTTACAGCTGGAGCTGTTACATTGGAGATCACTAAGGTACACAGACATATTCATAAAAAATCTCTGTACAAATGGTCTTAATTTTAAAAGACCTTCACCTATTCAGCTAAAAATATTAAAAAAATCTAAGAAACTGAAATTATTTGGTGTTTACTTGTATTGTTTTGCATAAATGAACTAAAATCCGTATTTCTTTCAACAGTATGAAAAATGAAAATGAAAATGTTTCAAACTCTATTTCTTGGACCTCTCCCGAAACTTAACTCACTGGTAGAAGAAGAACTGGCCTGTAAAAATAATTAGTTTTTATATACTCTGAAAGAATGTTCTGAACAAACTGAATATTTGAAAAAAAAATTCAGTCAGATTTGGTATTTTCCAAATTCTGGACCAAATGTACCGATAATAACTGAAAGATAAATTTGTATTATGTCATAACCTATACTTATGCCTCAGGGTTTGCATAGGAAATGACAGATTTTCTAATCTTATTCTTGAGAATAATTGGGGTGAAAACAAGGACTGCAGTGACTCACAGGTCACCCCTATGAAGTCTGGTAACACTGAAAGTGGAGAGAGATGGCTGAAACCATTGATAATTTAAGAAATGATCTTCAGCTGCACAGTGAACAAGGCCAGAGGTTCTCACTAAATGTGAAATACTTCTGGCCACTAAAATACAACAATATGTGATCTACAGGGCTGTTAAGGAAATAAAGTCCTATTCTTAAAAATATAGCTTAAGATACGAAGCAGTTGTGTCATGTCATACTGAACTTTTTTTCCAGTTCACTATCCATTAGGACTATTTGTGTATGGAATTGGCAATGGTGATTATATGGAAATTGAAATCTGTGGTTTTTCCCTTCATTTTGGTTTTTAGAAATGCTTAGGTTTATTTACCAACTGTTCTTGCTCCACCAACAAAGCATCCAAATTTGCATAAAATCCAGATTCAACGTCATATGCTTTCAAAGTAACAGCTACATTATACAATTTCTCTAAAGTGACCAGACCCTTTGATACCAGTACTTTGTAAATCAATTTCTTTATCATTGCATATTTCGGTACCTCAAGGTATTCTAAATACTCCTGGAATTGCTCCAGTTTTTCTACTGATTTGTCATTGCCCATTAGAAAGTTTAATTTAATGAAGAGTATTTGGCTTCCAGTAACCAAAAAGTGAATGTTGCATTGATTGAAGACTTGAGACATGATGATCAGTGTCTTCCTCAGAGTTTTACTTTCTTGGTTAGGTTTACTTTCTACATATTATTGGTTATTTGCCAGGAATTAGACTAGATGATTTAAATTTATTTCTTTTTAGTATGATCAATATGTTCTGAAATAACTTCTCTTGTGACTTTTTCAGATTTGCACTGAATTCTTCTATCTTTTTTGGCCTTCCTTACATTAGTCCTTTCTAAGGCTTTCTTAGCATATTCTTATTCCACTAAGCACAGCCAAATGTATTGCTTTTAATCCTATCCCTTCTGAGTTTCTTCAGAGGCTGTTCCTCCCGTACTTTGTAGCATATAACAGAAAGCTATTTCCATATATTTCCTTAATGCAAACTATCCACATTCTAAAAAATACCTACTGTATGATGATCATTGTCAGTTTACCTGTAAGCATGTAGTATTTTTTTATCTGCTGTAGTCTACTAGTATGCTAATAGTAGATAGTGTCTTAAATATTATTTTTGCTGTCAAACTTTTTATTTCCTTAACTTGTTTTGTTAAATAATTTACTGATAACTTAATCAGCTGTTTGCCTGTAAATTGTTAAGTACATCTACATTGCTAAAGTGTATGTCCAGTTGTCTTTTGTCTGGAATTTAAAATAATTTTTCATATATTTAGTACAGAACATTGCTACTTCTTAGTTTTGTGAATTTTAAAATAAAATAGGTAAAGTCATATTTCTCTTTTATTTTGTTTTCAGATGAGAAAAAAACATGACATACTTCCTAAATTAAAACTGCAGTACATAAAGTTAAATACCTCTTTTATTTTATTTAGTCATATTTTTCATGTGGATTTAAAGATTTCACCAGAAGGCAAAAAAAAGTGCAATAAAT